GATGAATTAATCAAGCAGTTTAGTATAAATCTTATGGAACTCTCCTAGCATTCTGTTCATTCCCCCGACCGGGAAATTATAATTTGCTTACGTAACCATCCTCTTGCTTTTTAAAGGTCGACAGGTCAATAGATTCTGAATATTTTTTTTCAAAATGTGCACTTTAAGATGTTTGTCAAAATTACAGTCGTTTATAATAAAATGTTCTGCAAGCTCCGTTGATGTCACATTATTGTGTCTGATATCATACATGTGCCTATTGAATCTTTTTTTAAAAATCAAGCCATATTTGATATATTGGGCGGCGTATATTAAATGAGAATCAGTATAATTACCACCCTCTGTAGAAATCTTGATGTTTCACTTTGAATTTTGAGTTCCTTGAGAACTTTAGTTTAGTGTCTAAAAATTTAACAGTAGCTTGGGCGAAACTAAATGTAGAATTTATTTGTGATCAAAGTTCAATCATTCTTCTGTGCAAAAGTATCAGAAAATTGCAGAAATTTTAACAAACTTTCCTGCGTACCTTCCCAGATAAAGAAAATATCATCAATAAGTCGCAACCAAAATTCTGGTTCATGGCCGTGCTATAATCTAAAAAGTTCAAGTAGTTTTTCTTCGAAGTTTGTTATAAAAAGACATTCGCAAAGTTAACGGCCATGGGTGTCCCTATAGCACACCCTTTGATCTGGTGGAACAACTATTTACTTAATTTTATCGTGTTGCTTCCAAGACGAAATGAATAAGTTTACAAAGAAAGTTTGACGGAATGGTTGTGTTTTTGCGTTTCCCCAAATCTTTGTTGCATGCTCCAATCTTTTCATCTTAATCAATATTAGGATGAAGAGACGAGATATCCATAGTGACCAAAAAGAAATCATAAAAATCATTTTTGCGTCCTGAAACTTTATTTATTTTAGAAATATAATGTCCCGGATATAAAACGAAGACCGTTTTGTTATAAGAAATAAAAAAAAAACTATGTAGCCACTCAGAGATTTTTGCCGTACAACATTCATATCCACTAGAAATTGTATTTTTGAAAGGCCGTAAAACATTAGTTTTTTGTTCTGAATGTAATGTTAGACTCTGTATCATTAATATAACTATTTCTTTTCATTTCAGAAATTATCTTCTGTACATTTTTTCTGTAATATGTGTTCAGGTCTGAAGAAATTTTAACGACGAAGAGCATTACATTGCGAAGTCGTAAGGTTGTTCCAGATTTTGTTATGGCTTGATTTCATGTTCTATCAGATTCAATCACTATCTTTGTCCTCGGTTTTAATTATTGTAGAATTTTCGCCACGAGATTTTCTTCGAAAAAATATTTCTTTAGCTCGTGACGACGGGCAATGTGAAATACACCCCGAGCTAATTTATTTTTTATTAAAAGTTCTAACACTATGTCAAAAATTCAATCCAAGCTCGAAAACAGAAATCTCATCTGGAGAAAGAATCAAATTTCATACATTTATTACAGTTTTATTTTCCTGTGTGTTTGAAATTTTTGAATGAGTATTAGTATTGGAATTGTAATTTTTTGAAAGATGTTTGTGCGTGTCGAGTTTCGGGGACTTTTGATGTTCTACACCGAGAAACCTTGTACGTGTTTCATGTCAGGTTGTATTGTGGCGATTTCTAATATAAGTTATGAGAAGATTTAGCAGGTTTTTTAGGAGCGACCCATTTTCGAGTAAGTGGCAATGATTTACTTGTGTCTATTGTATATGTTGGTATTAAATGAATTTTAATTTTTGGGAAGGGGACAAATCTATGAATCAGAATTGAAAATGAGCCCTCATTTTGGACTGATCAAACAAAAACCTTTCTGGAGAATTTCTTATGACTAATTCGAAAGCATACACTAGGGCAAAAATCCACAATTATTTTGGTCGACTTGAGGAGTAGATATTTGTACTTGTTTTATAGTAAAAGTTATGTCCTCTTGTGATGAGTCGAGTGATGTTATTTGCATAGTGAGTTCGTGAGATACAGATATGTTTAAGATATCATAACTATATACGTCTCCAAAAAAGTTAGTTGACATAGAAAAGTGTTGTTTTTTTTTGTGTAGTCTATAAAAATTCTTCGGTGTGGAAAATTTGTTAGAAAATCAGTAGGGAATAGATAGTAGGTTTTATCTGAAATTTGTTAGTAATCAGAGTGAAGCCAGATTTTAAAAAATCGGTCGTATAACATTTGTCCAGTAAATAAATAAGTTTACTTCGTGTTTTTCAAATTGAAACTTCGCAGCCAAAATTCTTTGGTAGTAGCAGTAAGATGGATACACCGTGATTTTTTTTTAGCTTCTCCTCTTTATTTGAACTTAAAGATAAAATTTCCTTGTTCTCGAAGTTTCCTAGACAATGACATGAATGAGGGAAACGGGACTCACACGAACCAACCTGTGCAAGTTTATTTAATCTTGTTTCAATGTCCGTATTGAGAATAACCAATTTAGAACTGTCATGTTGGATAACAACATTCATAGCAAGGAAATAATTGTTCCCTTGTAATAATTTCAAACTTATCATGCAGGAATCATCTGGCCGCGATAAACACATGGGAAGGTTTGATGTCAACCGTCATAATAAGTATTAATATTAAGTAATTATAATAAGTATTAATAATATTATTCTTAATAAGTAATAATAATAAATAATAATAATAATAAGTAATGCTAATAAGAATTGATAATAATTAATTATAATAGGTAATGATAATAAGTATTAATTAATCTTTATAATAAGTAATAATAAGTATTAATAATAATGATAATAGATAAGGATATAAGAATTACTAACAAGGAATAAAATAATGAATAATGATAATAAGCAATGGTAATAATAAACCTAAAGTGAATAAGAAAAAGAATTTATGGGATAACAGGCAGACGTGATACGAATCCTTCAAATCATGACAGGTGTACAAAGTAAACCCTTCACGGTAGATAGGAAGAGAAAAAACAAAGAATGAACGGTATCATCATTTTCACAGGATCGCAGAAAATGCATAATTTGGCGTTACATATAAAAGAGGAAGGAATTTATGCGAAGAGTGTACATTAAATGTTATCAAAACATTCTAATTCAGCCGAATTGAACGCAAATGTAAAGAGGAGATGTGTCGGGGCTAATAGACGCAAACGCCGGGAATATGATACTACGACAAAACACACGGGCAAACATACATTCACACACATGCAATCAGTTTTTTTTTTCAGTCATATATGTGCGAGTGGGTGTATACTTCGGTATATGAATAGACTTAGATAGATAACTAGACAGATAGATTGATTGATTTTGAATAAAGAGAGATATGTACATATATAAACAGATATGAAGAGAATGAGATAGAAAGATATATAACGAACAGATAGATTGATAGATAAATAGGTATCTCAGACTGATAACGAGATACATACATACATACATATATATATATATATATATATATATATATATATATGTGTGTGTGTGTGTGTGTGTGTACGAAAATATAAGAATATATTGATCTCCGCCTATTGCTGTAAGTAAGGAAAGGATTTATTAACGAACTGTTTAAAATTGTTCCATTGTGCCTGTCTAATATTTTGAAATCATTTTTGATTTGCTTTGTAACGTGGAGGACTTCAAGCTTGTATGAAGATATAAGAACCTATTGATCTCTGCGTATTCCTATATCAACGGAAGGGATTTCTTGAACTGTATTCTTATATTTTCGTACAAGCTTGAAGTCTTCCATGTTATAAAGTAAATTCAAGTTTGTATATCAATTGAAAATTGCTTTCTGATTAAAAATTCCGAGTTATTATCAATGACACCAATCGCACATCTAAGAGGTAATCCATCTAGGTAATGACTAGGGTCGATATTGCTTAACTTCTCTGATCTTACCGTAGCTATAGGTTTAATAAAAAGGTAGTCTGATTTTCTCTGGCATTGGCTGGAAGCCAGTCTATGAGAACAAGTAAAACATCAAATATATTTCCGAAGAAGTCATGACAATTATTAATAAATAAACGGAAATTGTGGAGAGCAAGTGTCAATTAAATTCTGTAGAGACATTCAATTAGAACAGTGTTTCTCAACCTTTTTAAGTAATTGGTGTGTTGTTGCTTAGAAGGTTGAGAAACTAAGAGCAACTGAAAATATTACGACACACTTAGCAACATTTTTAAAGGCTATACATTTAAATGTAATGAAATTCAACCATAGATTTTTTTAAATACACACACATATATGAACTTACTTGATTTCAATGTTTCTATTTAACTATTTAAGAAAAAAAAAAAAAATACTTTTTTAAAAACTGAATGTTAAAACAAAGTATTTAAAATAACATAATCGAAGAATAGTGAAAATAATTATCTGAAAAAAAGTTTAACACTTATTCATTTATTCAAATACTAACGCTTTAACATTACTAGCTTCACACTCACATATATATGCATGCCGTTTGGGCACCTCAGTGTGGTGTAATGGTTAGCAAGCTTGTTTCGCTAAAACAGTTCGATCCTCACTGGGTCCTCCACACACTCGGCCGTGTGTCACATCTAAGCTACGCTTAGAAAATCGCTTTCGCACCTCGATGTCGTGTAACGGTTAGCAAGCTTGCCTCGTTAGAACAATTGCGACTGAGTAGTGAGTTCGATCCTCACTGGCTGCCCCATACTTTCGGCCTTGCGCACATCTGAACTACGCTTGGAAAATCACTATATGTATACCGGCATACATCGAGTGATTTTCGAGGTGGTGTGATGGTTAGCACACTTGATTTGTTAGAATATTTACGGCTGAGTAGTGGGTTCGATAGTGAGTGCCCCATAATTTTCGGCCTTATGTCACATCTAAGCTACTCTAAGGTATATATGTATGCTATGACTAGTGTGACGCAGCACGACGGTTGAGAATTACTGAATTTGAAGAAAGGATTAAGAAAAACAGAAAAGGCTGGGAGCAGAAAAAAGTAAAAATTGAAGGATCTTACAAAAATGATTATGAAAATAATAAAGAAGAAAATAAAAGAGTATATACATAAAAAAAAATGAAATAATGTAAGAAGGAAATAATGAGGCTAAAAGAATGAATAATGAAGGAAAAATAAATAAGGCACAAACGGAAGAAGAAATATTCTACAAGAGAGTGAAGAAAAAAAGAGACGAAGAAAAATGAGACGGAACGAAAGAAAAAATGAGAATCAAATGAAGGAAAACAATCAGCGAAAGAAAGAAAAAATAGTAAAAGAAAAAAATGAGATTTAGAGAAAAAGAATGAAAAATAGAATAAAACGAAAATAGGAAGAGAAACAAAAAAGAGAATGAAATAAAACAAAAATAAAAAGGAAATAAAAGTAAGTGACAGAAAATATAAAAATATAAAAGATGTCTTTAGAGAAGAAGAAAAAAAGGATAAATAAATAGAAAAAAAAAAAGAAATAAAAGGAAACGGAAAGAAATAGAAAAATGGATTCACAGAAACAAATAGCAAGAAAAACCGAAGAAAAGAGAATGAAGTAGAACATTAGGAAAAGAAATTAGAAAAATGAAAAGAAACCAGAATAAAAATGGAGAGAGGAGAATGAACGTTCAATAAAAAAGGGATAAGAAAAAAAAAATTGAAAAGGCAGCAATTATTATCACAATGGGAACGTAATAAAGTGTCGGAATAAAGAGCCAGGGTTATGAAAAAAAAAAAAGATCTGCAAAGGAGGATGGGTTGGTAGAAAAAGAACATTTATTTACACACACACACATAGAAAGGGAGAGAGAGAGGGGGGGTGTAAAAATTTAACCATTGTCTCACTTTTGCACTCATAACAGCATCAGAATAAAAACCTTGTATTGGATCATAATTTAAACGAGCATCAGCCAGTGAATTTCTTTAAAGAACAATACCGGCTTCACTTCATACTGGCTCTTAACCTTTCCTTTCCCCTTCTCCTTCATCTGCCTCCACATTGAGGGAAACACCCCGGACTCCTGAAACCATATTTGCAGGACCACCCGCCATACAATCTTGTAACCTCTTTGCCCTCCGTTAGTCACCCATATTAATGGCCCTCTTTTCAACATTTTCAACACTCTGGAAGCTTATTTTGTTGCTTCCTTTAAATTCTTTGCAAGGTGGTAGCTTTTTGGCACAGCTCATTGAGGTATTGAAGATTCTCGTGTTTTTTTTTTTTTTTTTTTTTTTTTTAGGGACATGGTTGCGGTGTTGTCTCCTTCTGTATGCGAGTATATTTAAGATTAATCTGTATGGTTTATAGAAGCAATAACAGATTGTGCGAGGTTTATTCTGAAATTTGTTTTAATAAGTTCGTATGTTATCCAGTGATAGCCAGGAAATGGGTCAAAATTAAAGTAAATTTTAATGACAGAAAATTATTTTAGTCCTGACCCTTTTTTTCTGGTCATCATTGGAGAACAGTTAAATTATTATAAATTTTGGAATATTCATGAGTCACGAACTTTCTATAAATTGACCGAACACTTGAATTTTTGACAGTGTTAACACAACAAAACCGGCTGATTTTTCAGCCTCCATCAGCTGTATTATTCGCAAGAAAGGAGCGAAAATAAATTTATAGCGCGACTAGGGTTATTTTAGCTAAATACTTTACTAAGGCCTTTTATTATAGAAATATATTTAAAATAAAGAGCTGGATTTTCATTAGTCAAGAATTAATGGAAATATTAGTAATGGTGGGGGATATCCGTTTATGTACAGGAAATAATCAGCACTTCTCACCACACACAAACTGTCTTGTAGCCTCTTTGCCCTACGTTGTTCACTTATATTAGTGGCCTTCTTGTCAACATTTTCAACATTTTTTCGGCAAATGTGACTTATCTCCTCCACAGCCTGTTATCGTTAGGATTAATAGTTTTCATTTTTCTTTTGGTAGTGTGGATTACTAACATATGGTCATAATTTTCATTGCTTCCATTATAAAGTAAATTTTATTTGGTAAAGATCTTTGTGATTGCGTAGCACCAGACTTCGGAGTCTAATGAAGAATCGTTTTTTCTAAAACGTTAAAGGATTAGATCGTTTGAAGCAATTTTCAATCATTGATCTGAGAAAACGGTCGTTGGCAGATGCTAGTCTGAACGATTAGGACGCTATGCAAGACGGATAGCAGGGGTCGGCAACTCCCTGCCACTGGGCCACATCCGGTCCGCCGCGGAGGATTTTTAGTACGGGCCACCGTAACTAAACTTTATTCAATTACCGTACTCTTTTTAAATTTCTTTCATTTCCAGAAGTCAAAAAGTCAAAAAAAAAAAAAAAAGACTTAAGAAAATACGTCTGGACAAAGAATCTAAAAAAAGGAAAAATGGATATTGAGTGACGAAATTTTAACGAATACTGGATACTAAGCTATTTTTTCATTGAGCACTTCGGAAAATGTCTTCGCTTAATTTGTCAAGAAACAATTGCCGTAAACAAAGTTTCTCCAGACGAAGGGAGCCTTCCTAACGAAGCGGTCTGAGGTCGAGACAATTTATTATAGTACATTGGATATCATGACCCTTCCCCAAGACAGTGCACAGCTTTCTGACCCTTTCTCTCCAAAAGGTTGACGACCCCTGACGTACAGAATAATGCTAATTGAAATGTTAATATTAGCCGTTTCTTTATAAGGAAACATTCGACATTCAGTGACCGAGTAGTTCGTAATACACTCGATTGAATTTTATAAATCATCTTTATCTTAAAACAATTTTACAGGATAAAAGATTTCTCATGTCCAGTAGCTGTTAATGCTCTTTCCACTATTGATGGCGTTTTCGTTCCTAAGCTTTTATTTATTTGTTTATTTTTTTTACAATGATGTTCACCATTTACTAGGCCCAAGAACCACTCGTGGTAGAGAGTTACAGAGTAAGAGGCACTGCCTAAAGAAGATGATAATGCCATCAAGACGCAAGAGGTCATTGGAAGTGAAACAGAAAGAAAATAATTGAGGGAACCGAAAACCAAACTCGAAATAAGAGATAAATCTCTAACCCTGTTCAAAAGAGGAGTGTGAAACGGGCGATAAGCGAACCTTCTACTCCTATTGAGTCCAGAGTTTTCGTCGGAGACGTTCGAAATATAGAGTTGAAATGGAAGGAACATGAAACTCAATCCTTAACAATCTGAATTAGTGTGGAATGAAAATATCTTGATTATGTTATTTTTTTTTTTCGAGTTATATGTGATATGCATTTTAGATGTTGGTGATGCTGACGTGGTTTCTATTATTTGGAAAAGATCCTTTGTGTAATTCTGTACAGCCATTCCCCAGTGTTCACTGCCTTCACTGACTCAAAGCCAATTTTAACTACTGATCTGAGTAAAGAAAGTTTGTATATAGCAAAGAGTTTAGTTTGGCTCCATGACTGACATCCATAGGTCAGCCTTGAGATCTGACGAGGCCTTTTAAGAACATGGCTCGAGATCTGACGAAGCTTTAGAAAGGCATATCTCACGATTTCAGGTTAATATTTGGGTTTTGTAGTATTTTGCCGGGTTAGACGAAATAACTGTGGCGTAAACTATTCTCTGGTTAATTTCCTTATCCCCCATCTAATTAAATAAATAAATCCTGCCTGTCTGTCTGTGTGTCTCAAATCCCTCTAACTCGGGTTATACTTGCTCTACCTAGACATATTCTATCTTTTTGGAATCAGAATGATTCCAGGATTGAAAATCTGCCTTTCATCTGGTGCTTGAACATCCAGTCTTTTAGCTAGAATTGGATTTACAGCGCAAATCTAAAGTTAAATTGAGATTTTGAAGTTCCATGGAGTGAACTGAGGAATTGAAAATAAATTCTTCAAAAATGTTATTGCTGTTTTCTAAACTGGAGCAGAGATCCGTTTAGAATTGTGTAAGAAGCCCAATAGGCCGCCGTAGCAGCTAGCGTAAAAGTCCACACGGAATGCGGCTTTTAAGCTAGTACAAACTTTTTTTTTTATCTGAGGCATCCAGCAAGTTAAATAATTTTACTATAGAAATACATTGAAAATCATGACACAGGGAATAGATCTAGTATATAAATGTTTTGATAATGATTTTCCTATCGAAATGCATAGCAAATGAGAAAGAAAGGGATTGTCAGTGGTCATGAGTAAAGCAAAGTATAATGTTAATGTGTCGCTCATGCTTAAAGAAACTCCTCTCTGATCTTTAGAGCAGGAGTAATGGTATATCCTGTTTTGGGGTGGGTTTCCCGTTTCTTCTAATAATCTACTTCAGCTTTGTACTCTAAACGCTTGTCCTAACCTAAAATAATATCACTCTACAAAGTAACCCTCTACCTTGAGTGGCTCTTGGGCTTTGTATTGAGTGAACATTAGTAAAAGAACTTATTTAAAGTTGAAAATCATTTTACAACAGTAAAGCATTACAACTTATTTTAGGAGAAAAAGCATTGAATATCAGGCAAAAATATATTCTCTACTAGCAGCATGGCCCGGCGTTGCCCGTACTTGATTAAAAAATCGTACTACTCATACAGCAATCGCTATCACTTGACTTAAAACATTTTTGCCCTTCCTTGCCTTTAAAGGAGTGCCCTTTGCCGTGCTGATGTTGCTACATGCCTTATTTCTTGCCTATCTCACACTGCGAATTTTTTTCTAAGCTCTATACTAAACATTAAATCTGTTACAAAAAAGAACTAAACAAAATGAACGCAAAACGATCAGCTTTAAAAAAGACTCGTAACTGGAAAAACTGAATGTTAACAACAAATATTTTTTCAAATCCAACCCAGTTCTGCGAAATCAGAATCAACGTTGAGTTTAAGCAAGCGAATGAGCCAATTGGAGTAAAGTGCCATGCAGATTTAAATGTTTCCCACGTGTGATGAATGCAGCTATCGATTTTTTGCATGCTAGCATGCTAGTTAAAATTCGTGTCAGTCAGCTGTTGGCTGTCACGCTGGCCAATAGAATCTCCTGCCTATTCGTGTCAGCCAGCTATAGGCTCTCACTCTGGCAAGTAGAAAATGGCCGCAAACTACATGAAAACTGCCGTAGAAGCATGAAAACAATCGATTATTTCCTCTATCGATGGGAGTTGGGAAATGCAAAGTCAATCTTGGCCTTCCCGCTAACATGGAGCATGTGCATGTAAATTTTGGTGCAAATCCGTCGAAAATTGCGGCTGTGCATTCGTTACACACACACACAAACATCCTGCCTTTTATAGATAGAGATACTCAGGGTTTAATGCAAGCGTTACTAATAGAATAGATCCATTATATGTAGAATTATTGTTTATAGCTGTTGTTCACTAGGTTTGGCACAAGGCCAGAAATAAGGCGATCCCAATGAAAATCGGACTCACAACAGATGGTCTCAGATTACCATGCTAACACTTAACTTGCAAAAAGGTGCCTTGTTATTCACAAATCCTAGCTTAGCGGTTTACGGCCACATCACGTTAAAACAACGGTTCTCGTACTATCATCGAAGTTAAGCAACGTCAAGCCTGGGCAGTACCTAGATGGGTGACCGCTTATGACTACTTGATGTTTGTAAGCTTATATATATGGATTATGTAATGGATAATGACTCGGAATTTTAATTGGAGAACCGAGTTCCAATTCCAATCGTGGTCGTTATATTCACTTACGTGTAAATAATATTGGGAAAGGTATGAATTCACTTCTTCTCCTATGGGTAATTAGTAAGACTTGTTTCACTAAAACATTATTATCTCCAAAATTAAAATAAAATTGTGGACAGAAGAACATTAAATAACCCATAGAGGTTGATATGCCGTTAAATAAAAATAACCAGCTAACCTAACTTGCTTTCTAAAGAGGATGAAATACACAACTGATTGTTAATAAGACTGGCTCGCCAAACACTGCCTGACACGGAGACTGTCACGTAGTCTATGTTTTCTGATGTACAATAACAATTATTCTTGAAGTGACATTCTAGTATTACAAACACCATTGCAATTACCAACCCACCGAACAACACATCAAAATGTTTAACTAATAATAGTAACAATAATGTTTCAAATGAAAAGATCGCATTGGGATTTATATAATTCTTATATGAATTCTTGAGGTTTCGTCTAACATTTACAAACGTCTTATTTTCCTAAGAAAATATCTGAGGATGCAATGCAAGAAAAAGTATTTCTGGGGTGTGAAAATAAGACGCAAAACAACGGGAAGAGAATGCAGTTACGATTGTAATCAAGGACGGACGGATGAAGAGGGAATGTTTAATTTGAACCGATACTCGCCTAAAGATGGCTTTAAAGAAACACTTTAGTTTTCAGCTAATTTCATTACTTATAATTTCATCACTATCCTGGATTACGACCATATCACCTTGAAACACCCGTTCCCGTACGCTGTTCGAAGTTACGCACCATCAAGCCTGGTCAGTATTTAGATGGGTGACCGCTTGGGAAGTGATCTATGCTTGGATGTGCAGGTAGTGTAATAAATAATGCCGCGAAATTGTTAATCAGAAAGTCGTGTTCCAATTTCAGTTGAGTTGGGTATATTCAGTTAGTGCGCAAATAACCTTTCTCCCCACAGCTATGGGTTAACTAGTAATAGTTGTATCACCAAATCATTATTATCCCTGCCAAAATTAGTACTATCTAAAAATATTTTCTGCAAACGTTGATATCAGTAGAAAACGAATCAATCAGTCAAGCGTAGGTACGGGTTCAAGAGATGGATATATAACTTTCCAAAATTTATTTCTGCGAAACTGAGAGTGAATTTGAACTCGGCTCGCCTATTCCATTCCGTCCCGCTACCTGCACAAGCACATAATAGTTAAATTACTTTGTTCTCTCTCTCTCTGTCGCTCTCTCGAATTTCTTACTTTCTCCATATTTTTCTTTTGTCCACTCTGTGCGTGTGTATCGTCCACTCAATATTAGAAAGGCTAGATCAATTACTCTGATTTTATTGTCCACTGAAGATATTTGTGTTTAAGATGAATATGAGACATGAGTTCATAATTTCAACATTTGTTTCCTGGTATTTATATTTAGATGTGTTAAACAGCTTCGGAAATATTACCATTTGTATCAAGTAACCCCATTTTTAGATGAGTAAAAGTAAAGGAACAGAGAGGCTTAAAGTAAATAACATTTAATATTTGATTGCATAAAACATGCTAGCAATAACTGTATCAAGCCCGCTGATGTAAACAAACTGTTGCACTCTTCATTTGTGACGCTTTTCCAGACTTTTAACACAGCCTCTTTCAAGTCTTGTTTGTTTCGGGGGTCTCTTCGGTAATTCTCCTCTTCAAGAGATGAAATGCATGCTCTATTGGATTGTGGTCCGTTGCTTAATTTTGGCTGATCTAAAATTGTCCACTTTGCCTCCCTGATAACGTCCTTAGTTGTGTTGGTCGTATGTTTTGGGTTATTGTCTTGCTGCATTATAAACGTCTTTCCAATTAGTTTGGATGCTTTGTGTACTGACAAACAAAAAAATATCTGTAGATTTTTCTGCTAGCCTCATGATTTACATAATCAATAAATATGAATGAGACTGTTCCGGAAGCAGCCATACAAGCTCAAGCCAAAACACTACCTCCATCATGATTCACAGATGAGATTGTATGTTTAGGATCATAAGCAAAACCTTTCTTTCTCTAAAATTTGGCAATTTCATCAGTTTGTTAGAGATTAATCTTGGACTCATCAGTCCATAAAACCTTCTTCTAGAACTTTTGTCGCTCATCTCTGTATTTCCTTACAAATTCCAATCAGGCCGTCCCATTCTTACTGCTCATGAGTGGTTTGCATCTTGTAGTATGGCCTCTATATTTCTGCTCTTCAAAGTCGTCTTCGAACGGTGTATTGTGAAACCATAACCCCTGCACCCTGAAGGTTGTTGGTGATGTCACTGACTGTTGATTGGGTTTGTTTCATCGCAGCTCTGACAATCTTTCTGCCACCAAATGCTTTTCTTTTCCTTGGGCGACCTGTTCCATGTCTGTTGCCCATTACACCAATATTTTCTTTCTTTTTCAGAACATTCCAAATTATTGTATTGGCTGTGCCTAATGTTTGCCCAATGGCTCCGATCGATTTTCATTCTTTTCTCTGCTTCAAAATGGCTTGCTTTCCTCCCACAGACAGATCTCTCGTCTTCATGTTCGATTATCCTTTTTAACAAGAAATGCAGTCTTCACAGGTGAAACCCAAGGTTAAAACCGAATGTAGTTATTCAAAGCTATTTTATGTTTAAACAATCAATCTAAAAGACAATGTCATTCACATGATCCAATAGTTTTGGTCACTTGATAAATGGGTGGGTTCAAACAAAGGGTGTCATGTTCGAAGAAGTTTAACACTTCTAAATGCAAATATCAGGGAATAAAAGCTGCAATTCTGAAGATTTTTCTCATAATCATTATTGGATTTTAAACCTAAATTCCTTCAGTGAACAACAAAAACAAAGGAATTTCTCTTACCGTCCCGATACTTTTGTAGGTGACTGAATATATATATATATATATATATATATATATATATATATATATATATATATATATATATATATATATATTATGTCGGCATAATTATGTCGGCAAATAGCATTGTCGATAAAATGTTCTGGTGGCTGCTCCAAGCCAGAGAAAAGTCGAATGCGGACTACTAGTGTCTCATGATCTGCTGCATCGGGGATATAGAACTTGTCCGCCTGTAAAGAGAGTCTATCTAGGGAAAGAAAGCTTATTTTAAACCTCCTTCATCAGGCGGTGATATCCAAATACGGAAAAAAAGACTATGGCAATAAATACAGACAGAAAAAAAAAACTGTGTGGAAGCACGAAGGCAGTTGGCTGTCAACACTGATAACCTTCCGGCAACTGCTGAAGCCAAGCCAACCCAAAATATAATACCCTGTATTCCTTTGGATCTTGTTAGTTCGGAATTGTGTGAATTATGCATTTGATTTGTTTAGCGGAGTCTCTCCATATATTATTGACCAGGAATCTGCCCTGGAAAGATCACTCCAGTCTTACCACCAAAGGAATGAATCATGATCAAGTAGGGGACTACATATATGTCGTGAGATAAACTGATACCTACTATATATATATATATATATATATATATATATATATATATATATATATATATATATATATTAAAATAATAAAGAAGAACAGTAAGATTTATAATCAAATTATTTTTATTAAAAAAAACAGTGCTCGATACAAACAGTAGAGCATAATATTATAATTATTTTCTTTTTTAAAAAATATGATTCCATCTCGACACAAATTTCTGTTTCAAAACTGAAACTAAAGTTGTAAATTTAATTATAAAAATTAAACTTAAAATCCAGAGTTTCGTTCCATTGTCAAGTGATGTTAGGAATCATAAGTTCTTCCAAAGTCTTGGTTTGGTATATTAGATTTGCTCCTTTAATCAAACCCCAAAGAAAAAAGTTGTAGAGGACTCCTACATAAAATACGGAGTTACTTTTCAATCACCCTGTTGAGAATTCATAGTTTAAAACATTATGCGGATGACAGTTTTATTGATGGCAAACTCAGAAAGAAAACTAAAAGGAGTCAGAGATGAAGTAGAAACGAAAAGCAAGAAGAAAAATATAGCTATTAGAATGCACGGTCGCCAGGAAAAGAAACAACGGAAGGCGCGAATTGCATATATTGCTATCATCAAAATCGAACATATATTGTTTTTTTTTTTAATCTGAAATACAGACGACGGAAAATGTAGCACAGACACCCGAAAACTTATAGGAATAGAGAAATATTCCTTTCAGAAACTAAGCAAAGTATTAAGAGACACAAAAACTTCATTAAAAGCAAAGTGTGCTCAACCGCTATTTAATATTTAATCTCTTATATGAGTTAAAGTTGAAAATGATGAAAAAGAGACAAGAATCGACTGATGCGGTTCTGCGGACGATTGCTGTGAGTAGTAAAATAGGAACCAAAATCACAATGATAATCACAATCAGGTAGAAATATTTGAAAATTCTATGGCACATAACGAGGGAAGAGAACATAAAGAATTCAATACTCGCGGAACGTAATGAAAGCAAGAGAAACGAAGGAAAACAGTGAGTAACCTACTCAAAGATCCTTTGCGACACAGCTAAGATGGTGGCTGCGGCAGGGGTGTGTTGTCCTAAAGCGCCGACGTGGGAAACAACATCATTTCTTCGAGGTGCCGTATATCTGACCCCGAACGACAGACAACTCACCTAACCTTGTACGGGAAAAGAAATTTTCTGCACCTAGATGATTCGAAAATACTCTTCGTAGCGCCATTTGTCCAACGGAAGCTTGCGTTTTGAAGTTGACGGCCAAGAGAACGTGCTAGCAGCGCGTGCTGGTGGATAGTGAGTTGCGAAGTAGTTTGCATGAATCGATAGCAGACATAAGACTAAGAGGGATGGTTAGGAACAAGAAGCTACTTAAAGCAACCAATGAAAAGAAATCGTAGAGACCCATGATCACGAACATCCTGAAAGAACACGATACACACAATAATAAGTCCTCTTTCATTTCTTCATTTGCATGACCTAAAATCGATTCAGAAATTATACATTGATTCTAGATTTTTCTCTCTATGTCTTGCAAGGAAGAACATAGTATCTATGCAATTTTCATATTTTATGAGCTATAATCAATTTGGTTTTATAAGTAAAAATGCTCGAAAGGTAAGGAGGAAATGGATAAACGTTGTGAGAGGAGGAGGGCGTAAAAGAGCAGACGAAAGAAATGTACTGAGAATAAAGACGAGAACAATACACACACAGGCACACAGACACATATAAACACACACACACACACACACACACACACACACACACACACACACACACACATATATATATATATATATATATATATATATATATATATAAAAGAAAGAACTCTCAGATTTATAACCCAGAGTTATTTAGCATTTATTTTTAAAACCAGTGCTAGATACACAGTAGAACATAATGTTATAATATTATTATTTAAAGATATGTATTCATCGCGAAGTTTAGTTTTTAGTTCAAATACATGGTAATTTCTGTGTCGCGATGAATTCATATTTTTATATAATGACAATATTAATAATAATAATAATATATATATATATATATATATATATATATATATATATATATATATATAGATGTTGATTTTGAAGTCAAAATCCAGCGGCTACAGTATGTTTAAAATTAAAAGAAAATGATGCAATAAAACAAAAAATACAGATTTTTCAGTCATTTGAGGTCTTCTATAAATCCTTTTTATTATGAATAATTTTGGCTTGTATTTTTTTCAATAATAGATTTCCTGATTTCTTATCGCATTTCAAGAACAAAGCTAAAACAATACTAAACCTAATTCTAAAATAAAAATTACTATGTAAATACAGTCAATCCATTACAGATATTATATGATAATTGACTCCCTCACGTTAACATTGCACTGGCAAATGGAGCTGAGTTAATGCAACAAAGTTTATGCCATAGCTTTGTTTTTTCTTCCCTTAACATCACTGATCACATGAAATACGTCTCAATTTGCAAATATGTAGGAAAATGTTTTTTCTTTTCAGCATAAAGGAAACAGACTATTTTCATCCAGGTTTCATACTGTTAAAACATCTTACTTACTATCATTTAATCTCTATAGAGAACGTTTTCTGCTTTCCATCAGCACGGCTGATGCTAACATTCAGGAGAGAAACACTTTGTGCCTCGTTGGGCTCACGTTTCCATTCACATGAAGTGGAGTGAATATATCGAATCAATTGCTAGGCAATTATTGCCACCAAAATCCATCTTGCATAATTGTAAAAGTACTATTTCTCCATACGTTGAATAGCGTTATCATATTTAATCTGGTGAATCTCGCTATTCTTGAAAAAATCCAAAATGTCTGCAATATAATCGGTTCTGATCTGGTATCTTTCCACAACCGTAACGCGACTTTCCTCTGTCTTTTTTAGACATATTTTCATGGCAATTTTTCTGCTTTCCTCTTTTGTGTCTATGAATTTAAGCGTGCGACTGGATTACCAACTCTGTTTTCTCGGTTTACTGATGGACTTGTAGATGTAACGGACAATTCTATTCTAATAGTTTCTTTTCTCTCATATCTCGCCTGTGGAACTCTCTTCCGGTTGCTTGCTTTACTGTCACCTACAATCCTCAAAGAGGTAAATTGAGAAGAATTATCACAATATCGACCCATTGGCCTCCTTAGTGTAATCAGAAAACTTTTCGAATCTATAGCCAAAAAGAAGGTTGTTGAACACATTAAGGGGAACAACCTCCAGAGAAATAATCAGTATGAATTTTGCCCTGCTATATCCACTGTTGTTGTATAAATGCCATTACTCACAGAATCAGCGACGAATTGGACATTTAATTCAACACGAGGACTATCGATATATCAAAGTCCTTTGACAAGGTGTGGCATCTGGTGGTTCTACATAAATTTCCCAGCTATGGAATTTCTAGAATGGCTTTCTCAATTATCAAGTCCTTCCTAACTGGTAGATCCCTGTAGGTCATTGTTAACGGCCAGTCATCGAAAGCTTATATAATCAATGTCGGCATTCCTCAGGCTTCTCTCCTACGTCCTACCCACTTTTTACTGTATATTAATAATCTGATTGATTGACTTTTTGTTTAACGGCATATCAACTCCTGATGGGTCATTTAATGTCGAAATTTAATTTTCTTGGGAGCTTTGATGTAATAAAAATATTATATATGTTATTCTGCTTTCACAATTGAATAATTGGTAGATCGTACTCAGCTTTTGTAGATATACATATTTATGTGGACATACTTACTAGAGATAGTGCCTGTTTGATTTCTTTAAGAAACTGTAAGCTATTATATGGATTAATGTCATGAAAGAGTTCTTTTATGTTGGTTGCTTGGTTGATTTTGTTTTATCAATCATTAATGCCGAAATCTGAATATTTTGAACACAGTTTTATGGTTTCGACTAAATATATTTTGAACGCATTTGTATGCTTTCAACTACAGATAAAATGTATCGTTGTTTATATTGCTATAAAATATATTGTTGGTAATTTTACTGTAAAATGTACGGCTGGTCAGTTTTCATTTAAAATATAATGGTAACTTTACTATAAATAAATACTGCCAGTAATTTCCTTATGCAAAAATGTATTGCTGGTATTTTTACCACAAAAATGTACATTCACTTTTATAGTATTTTGTTTTTGTTTGGGGGTTTCTCTATGTGCCATAACTGAGACTCTAACGGGTGCTACCACCCCGGGAAAGTGTGGACCTGGGAACAACTGCAATTAAGAGGTGGTTCCACGCTCCCCAAAACATCCATTCCCCCGAGCCTTGCTGCCGGATGTAGTTTATCGTCATACCCAGGACCATTAATGATCTGAGCAAGAGCATACTTCGATCCTTAGTTAGTATCTATGCAGATAATAGAACAGTTTCTAGGGGCATCTCCAAAAATCTGTGAGACCAGAGCCTCGCAGCTCATCACTAATCTAACTAGTTAATTTAGTGGAGTTAGGACTGCCTTGTAAAATTGTACGGATAAAACCAAACTAATAACGTCCCACTACCACCGAAATTTCACCTATCATAATGAGTGGGTGTTCCCTCAAGAAGCCTTCTTGTCTTGAACGTCTATTTGGACTGAAGTGTTCCCCAGATCTCAACTGAAACCCATATGTATTAATAAAGATGTTGGAAAAACGGTTGACTCAGTGTACAGCTCCATTAAGTATCTGACATCTACTGTTATACTTTATCTTTAGAGCCAAGTCAGACCAAAAATGGAATATTGCTGCCATATCTAGGCTGGAGCTGCTCCGTCCTCACTTAATTGTCTTGATAGAGTTAGAAAAAAAAAGCGGTCTTGTGGATGCTGAATGATTTTCCACCTTACAACCCCAAACTCACAGACGAAACATCGCAAACCTACCGCTATTCTATCGCTATTACGATGGCATGTGTTCTGACGGGCTACTTTCCTTATTTCGGCCAGTCCTGAGCTTTACATCTGGGATTCGTCATTCCAGATACACAATAGCAAATAATTCCCATTCTCTTCGTATTCCAGTCGTAAAACGTATGTTCCACTCGGACAATTTCTTCCCGAGAACTGTTGCTTCGTGGAACAGACTCTCAGCGGGATTTTTCCGATCACTACAACCTTAACATCTTCAAATCTAAGGTTAAACGTTATCTTTTCTGCATAAACCCATGAACTTCCCTTCTTGTCTTTACTTACGCTCATGAACCACACAGTAACACTCTAACTTAAGCGGCTCTTGAGCCTTGTATTAGGTGATCATTAGTATAAAAAAATAAATAAGCTGGAAAGGCTGATATTCCATACAACTAACCAAACCATCAAATATTTCGGTTTCTCTCGAATTCTAAGCGAGCTGACAGGTGGACGGATGAATTGGAAGTCATGAAAATGGATTCGTTAGGCATGCAGATAGACGGTGAGACAGATGTGTGTATGGCACTTTGGAGAAAAAGGAGAGATGACAGAAGGGGATGAAGATAACGAACATAAATGAATAGTTTGGGGATGAGATAGAAGGAAACAATTGCAGAATGAGGACTCGTTGTTAATGCATAAAAACTGATAGATGAGGAGTCTGAAAGCGAGGAATATGGTAAAGAATGTGAGATTACCAGATTAATGGCACCAAAGAATGGCACCAAAGAATGGCAGGAGAAATGTAAATTGGAAGAAAGAAAAGGAAAAAGAAAATAAATAAAAAAAAACGCAAAAGTAAGGCATTCGGAAGATAAATGATGTTGAAAAATACAGAGATTGTTAAGACGAGAGGATCGTAGTGCAAAGGAATAGAGGAAGAAAGGAGAAGGTAAGAAGAATGAGGAATAAAAAGACGAAGAAGAGGGAGAATGAAAAAGGGTAAGAAGAATGAAGAAGACGAAAAGAAAACATTATGATGCAAAAAAAAAAACAAAGAAGAGAAATAGGCGGAGAAAGGAAGAAGAAAGGAAGAAAAATAGAAGAGGAAAAGAGAGGAAAGACAGTGCAGAAGAAAGTAATCAAGGGAAAGAAAGAAAGAGAGAAGAGGAGAAAGAAAGTGTGATCGAGAGAAGAAGAGGAAAAGGAGAATATATGAGAATAATAATAAGTGAAGATGTTTAAATGTATAGGATTTGAAAAAACAAAAAGGAAAAGAAATAAAGAAATGAAAGAAGAAAAGATGAAAGTGGAGGAATGAAGAATAAAAACAGAGGAAGAGAGAATGAAGAAGATGAAGAAAAATAAGGAAGGAGGAGAAGCATGAGAGCAATGATAATAATGATAATAAAATCAAGGAGGATAAATTATGAAAGCTAATAAAAAAAAGAGACAGAAATATGAACAGTGAAGACAAATAAGAATTGCGATAAAATAAAATCTACGAATATTAGCACTATTACTAATAATTAAGTAGAAGTAAAACGTAACAATTATGGCAACAAAAAGTAGAATAAAATGTTAATAAGTACCTCAACAACTACTACTACTAATAACAATAAAGAAAACGAAGTAAGAACAGCAGCAAAAGAAGAAAGAAAAGAAAAAGAATTGATTTCTTAGAATAAAAAGAAGTTACATGAATTATGAAACAAAGGAAGTAGTATAAAAAATTATTATTAATAATAAGAAGAATTAAAAATAGTAAAATTGATAGCTAACAATTGTATTCCTAATAATAATAATGAAAAGAAATAGAAAAATGAACTATGAATAAAAAGAAGTGTGATAAAATACTACAACTACTACTACTACTACTACTACTACTAATAATAATAATAATAATAATAATGGCAACAACAATGTAGAAAAAGTTAAAGAGATATAAAGATGAACAGTGAAGAAAAATGAAAAGTGGGATAAAATAATAAAAAGCATTACTATTTCTACTACTGCTACTACTACAATTACTACTACTACTACTAATAATAATAATAATGACGACGACGAAGAAGAAGAAGAAGAAGAAGAAGAAGAAGAAGAAGAAGAAGAAGAAGAAGAAGAAAAAATCGATGGAATGAATAGAACTTAGTGCGTAGGTACACGATAAGAAAATATGGAGTAAAATATGCATTAGAAGCAAAAACAATGTTGATTTGGTATTCTAGCTATGGTAAGTAAAAGAGATAACATTTCCTATTTCTTTTAAGCTAAAATACTTATGTACATAGACATGGAGACAGCAGCAATGCTCCTCCACTAACCCATTTCATCACTTTTTCACCTCTGTGTCTGATTAATTTAAACTTAGTAAATAACTAGCACATGAAAGCAGGCACCAAATGGATAACTATATATATATATATATATATATATATATATATATATATATATATATATATATATATATATATATATATATATATATATATATATATATATATATATATATATATATGTATATATATATATATATATAAAAGTGAACATTGAAGTTAACACTCAGAGGCGACAGGCTGTTTCATGTTGGATGCAATCGTCTGGCCGTCCAGCATGACACTCCCTGTCGCCTCTAAGTTTTGATTCATTGTTCACTTTTATATTTATATTTACATACACTCTATTTCTGTTATTGAGCAATTTTTTCCATAAATATAGCACACCTTAAAACTATATTTATATATATATATATATATATATATATATGAAGAATTGAAGAAATATGAAGAAAAAAAAAGGCGGCCTGACGATTGCGTCTAGCATGAAAACAGCCTGTTACCTCTGAGTGTTGACTTCAATGTTCACTTTTATATATATATATATATATATATATATATATATATATATATATATATATATATATATATTTCGCACATAGAGTGCTGGTGATAATACAACAGTACTCGAAGTCATATAATAGAGCTATTAATTATATATCAATAAATATACATATCATCCTTCATCGTTAGCACGACTCGGAGTTTCATGCACAACGTAATCTTTAATTGTTGAGTGTCATCTGACATTTAATCAATTTAAATTTTAATAAAAAATATCTGGTTAACGTAATTTTGGGACAGTCCATATAATACGGCGCTTGAAGTTTAATTTAAAAGGTATATATATATATATATATATATATATACATACTAGAGCCGTCTGGTATCTGTTGGATTTTAAATCAGTCCACCGATTGCATTTTTATATATATACTTGTACATATGTACGCACCCAGGAGACGACAGCAGAAAAAATTAAATCCTCTGTGGAGATTCTGTTAAATTATAAAAATGAAAATGTATTTTAATAAACAGAGCCCTTATCATCATTCTAAGTATGTGTACAATTTTAATACGGCACATAAACACACGCACACACTCACACAGACACACACTGACATATATAGTATGTGTGTGTGTAAATTTTATTAAATTCTATCGACAAGACTCTTCTATTCAAATTGAAATTATATCTTTCCAATCTCCCAATGGAGTCTTATACATCGACATGGAAGTTATGGGTAAATTGTACGAAATTACTTTATTTTCCTTTCTTTCTTGTAATTGGAAATATATTCCAATTATAATATAATATAATAATGATTGTCAGTCGAATTCACTAAAACTTGTTTGGATGTTTTTTTTTTCCTAAATGCACCTATTTTTCATCTGTTTTTATTTATTAAACAGTATACTTATTCATTTCCATCTACCCGGATGAATATTCGGGAAATATTATTAGAAAAAATAGGCGTTCTCCGGATGGAAACCTGAGTTCCCCTAGATCTGATAATTAAAAATTCGGATTAATAAATGAAAATCTATTCCTAAAATTGTATATATATATATATATATATATATATATATATATATATATATATATATATATGTGTGTGTGTGTGTGTGTGTGTGGTGAGATAGAGAAAGAGCGAGAATGGATTACTCAGTTGTAACTGATCTAGTGAGACAAGTTTGCTAACCATTACAACACGTCAAAGTGTCAAATACAGACATACACACAGTCACACTCATACATACATACATACATACACACACACACACATATATATATATATATATGTGTGTGTGTGTGTGTGTGTGTGTATGTGTGTGTGTGCATTTGTCTCTCTGTCTGTCTCTGTGCTCGCTCGTGTGTGTGTTAATGTACGAATATAATCTTAAATAAGTTGAAACAACTTCATTTAGTAACACCATGCCTTGAGTGGCTCTTGGGCTTTGCATTAGCTGAACACTAGTATATAGTATATAAGATACATATAAACGAACAGAGCCAGCGACAGGGAGACACTATATTTTTCTTTGGAAAATTGTCATTTAATATCTATCTTGAGCCAGCAGTCAAACATTAAAGGGGTATTTTTCAGTTCTCCCACGTTGCAACCGAATATGATACATGGTCAGTTTGAAGTGGGTTTAACGGCAAAACCGTGTAGAAGTTGCTCAAGCTCCCTCGGCACTACTCTTTTTGTAGACGCCTCAGTAGCTGAGCAATAAAGCCAGACCCCTCTCGAAGGAGGATAATGTTTGGGGATGGCCCTTGGAGCTCAGTCAAACAATACAAGTATTTAAACGTGTTTAATGCCGAAATATTTTAAACTACACTCGGAATGTTTGGCAATTTACAGTCTTTGAGACGATCTCGTTTCAATGACTGTCAGTTTTTCTAATGGTGCCAGCATCTTCCGCTGGCAAATCAGAAGAGAGATGAATCGTTGAGCAACACAAGTTTGCTTCTAAATTCTTCTGAAATAGTGTTGAGAAAATCCTTTCTGCCTCACGCCCAGTTTTAATTCTACTAACTTCGATTATTGTTCATTGAAACGACATACCTTCAGATTCTGTGTCTTTTTTTTTATTTGCCATTTCTTTTATAAAATTACAACCATTTTTGTTATTATATTTTTCACTATCATTTTTTCAATAATTTTTCTTCTCTTATGTTTTTATTTGCTATTCATTACTAAAATTTTGTCTTTTACGCGCCGTTTTTTCTTACTTTTTCATTTGAATTTTATTTTTTGTATTCTCTATTCTTTGTTTTTGTTGGTTTCTCTTTTTGTCAAAAAGCGTTTCTGCTTAAAATTTAAATTATTATCCGTTTTTTCTCTACGATTTGTTCTTACTTATATCATTCTCTCTTTCCTTCTTTCTCTCATTCTTTCTTCCCCCTCTCTCTTTCTTTTTTCTTTATATGATCCTTTCTTTCTATAATTATTTGTACCCGGCTTTCTTTCTTTCGCATTGTCTTTGTTTCTTCATATAATACTTTCTTTCCTTCATTCTGGCTTTCTTTCTATGATTCTTTCTTTCTTTTTCTTTCTTTCTTTCTATGCATGATATGTTCTTTCTTTCTGTCTTTTTTTCTTCCCGATTTTCACTATTCTTAGATTCGTACTTTCTTTCGTGATTCTTTCTTTTTTTTCATGATAATCTCTTTTTGTACTGTTTATTATTTTTCTTCCTGTTTTTTTTTCTTTCTTTCTCTTTTTCTTCTTTTCTATGATTCTTTCTTTCTTAATTTATAAGATTTTTTTTATTTCTATTTTCATGATTTTTCTTTCTTTATAGGACTACTTCTTTTCTCTTTCTTTCTTTCTTTCCGTCATTGTTTCTGCCTTCACATGATTCTTTCTTTCATTCTTTCTTTCTCTATATTTCTTTCTTTTCTGTGATTCTTTCAATCTTAATTTACTCGACACTTTCTTTTTTTTTCTCTTTCATATTGTTCTCTCTCATTCATTGCACGATTCTTTTTCTTTCTCTATTTTCACACATTCCTTCCTTTCTTTACATGATTTTTTCTCTCTCATTCTTCACAAGTTTCTTTCTTTCTTTCTATCATTCTTACATCTTTTCCATTTTTATATTTTCTTTTCTTTTCCTTTGCTTTCTCTGTTTTCTTTCCTACCGAGAAAGTGCTAACAATCTAATAAGCTAATAAGCAATCTAATAAAGAGCTTTAACTTTGACACGCCACGTTCGATGTAAACGCACTCTTGTCGATACCAGTGAAGACTGCGTTGAATTTTAACAGAAAGAAAACCAGACTTTGAAGCCGATTAGATGACAGGCTTATGGTGGCAACAATAATCCCAACAGTCACAATATACATCTAAAAAAAAGCCTTTAACTTCAGGTGTCACCAAAAGTAAAAAAAAAAAATCGCCTCCTTAAGCATGCAGTCTCGTCTACTGTGGCGCTCAATTTTTACATGTTGAAGAGAAATATATTGAAAATACTTTTAAACTCCTCCAACATCGTTCTTCTTCTATGCGCCGTGTCCCTTCAGGATGTGGGCAATCATGGGTCTCCCAAACTTCCTATCTTTTGTAGCTCTTCGCAGGTTTTTTTTTTCTTTTTGCCATCAAATCCCTGTTCTGCTAACCATTTACATAAGCTCCTTATGTAGATATTCGTTTTTTCCTCTATCTTGACTTCAATATGTCAAGTGACTGTCAAAATCTCCAAGCTCACTTTCCTCATCATGTACCCAAGAAATTTCAACTGTTTCTTTCTGATGTTAAGTACGAATTCTATTTTGTTTCCATTTTCCTTAAAACTTCTTTGTTGCTCTCATTTTCAGTCCATGCTATTCTCAAAATCCTTCTGTAGTATCACATTTGAGTTTTCTCAAGTCTCTTCTTCATCTGTGAAGATATTGCACATAATTCACTACCATATAGAATGACAGATAATACGAGACTACGTAAAAAGGTAATGCAATTTTTTTTATTATACAAGAACTAAGGAACACAGTTTAGCATTGTACATCATGTTATATTTGTACATCCAGTCAGGATATAGAAGACTAGACGAGTTTCAAAATATTTTTCTATGATTTTTGTTGTTGTTGTTGTCTGCGGTTTTGAATTGTCATAAAGGGGAAAAACGTTTTCCTATTGACGAGCGCAGGATGCTTTCTGCCAAATATTTATGAACATCTAGATGCTGAACGTACAAATATGCCTGTAGTATTTCATTGCTTTTTTAAGAGTTCTAAATGAATAATATCCTGATTATCTTTCTCAACATACGCCACATTAAATTTCTTAGAGTGAGCCTACCTTTTGGAATCGATTTATCAAGTCAGTTCAATGCTTTTTGAGTTGAATAT